AAAGTTACGAGTTGGAAAATATAATAGATTGACTGATCAATGTGTTAGTGGTGGGCAACATCAACCACAAAAGAGAGGAAAGCGTGTGGTGCTACCATCTACATTTGTTAGAAGCAAGAGATACATGGATCAACTTTATTTTGATGGTATGACCATTTCAAGTAAATTGGGATTTCATGATTTATTTGTTACATTTACTTGTAATCCAACTTGGTTGGAAATCACGCGTGCATTGTCAGACACTAGATTACGGCCACACGATCGACCAGATATTATTACAAAAGTATTCAAAATCAAATTTGACGAACTGATGGATGATATTACCAAACGCCGTGTTCTGGGCAAAGTGTTGGCATGTAAGTACTCTTCTTTATATTAAATCTCAATTTTGCAATAAGTTTATTTCCGACAACTATAAATGTTAACTAACTATTTCATTTTTTAGTTATGTACACCATTGAGTTCCAGAAGCGTGGATTGCCCCATGCACACATTCTGATTTTCCTCCACCCTCAAAACAAATCTCCAACACCTTCATACATTGATAACATCATCTGTGCTGAAATTCCCGACCCCATTGTTCATCCTAAATTATACAGTTTAGTTAAGGCAAACATGATGCATGGTCCTTGTGGGTTATCAAGAATGAATTCGCCGTGCATGAAAAATGGAAAATGCACTAAATACTTCCCCAAAAAGTTCATTGAACATACTGTTGTTGATGCTGATGTCTATCCCTTATACAAAAGAAGATCTCAATCGCATGTTATCGAAAAAAAATGGAATTACATTGGACAATCGACATGTTGTCCCGTATAATATGAGATTTCTTTTGAAATATCATGCACATATAAACATAGAATGGTGTAACCAAAGTACATCCATTAAATATCTTTTCAAATATATAAATAAGGGATATGATAGAATAACAACGTCTGTTTTTGGAAATGACACCGAACACATTGATGAAATCAAACAATATTTGGACTACAGATATATTTCCCCGAGTGAAGCATGTTAGTGGATTTACTCTTACAACATTCATGGGAGAAAACCTGCGGTGGAGCGTATGTTTTATCATTTAGTGGGTGAGAAGGCTGTTTACTATACAGATCACGACCGAATGGAAAATATTTTGGAAAATGCAAGTGTGACTGAGTCTATGTTTACTGCATGGCTGGTCGCAAATGCACAATATGAAGAAGCCCGGTCACTGACTTATGCTCAGTTTGTCTCAAAGTTTGTTTACAACAAAGGAAATATGGTCTGGAGGCCACGCAAAAAAGGGTTCACAATAGGTCGTTTGGTATGGGTTCCCCCGACTACTGGAGAATTGTTTTATTTGAGGATGATATTGACGGTAGTCAAGGGACCTACAAGTTAAGAAGATATTCAGAAAGTCGGGGACAACCAATATGAGACATTTAGAGATTCGTGCTTTGCTATGGGCTTTCTCGATGAGGATAAAGAATACATTGTTGCTATCAAGGAAGCAAATGAGTGGGGTTCAGGACATTTTCTTCGCAGACTTTTTGTTGTAATGCTACTGTCAAGTGCTGTTAACTGGCCATCACATGTCTGGATAGAATTGTGGCAACTGTTGTACGATGGTATTTTGCACTGCCAAAGATTATTAGCTCTAAATCTAGGTTTATTCATATCTCAGTCACACTTATTTATGCAGACTATTTATTGTGCTGCAACCTTACTTTCAGCATGCTGCCGCCGCAGGCATGCATGTATTTTTGTTGAAATCGTGTCTAATCTAACTACTTCAAAACTTTGTTTTACATCCTGCATCCGTACAAATTTGGCTTTGACAGAAATTGAATTGCAAACTCTGGCTTTAATATAAATTGAAAATCTAATGCAGGCAAATAGAAGGACTCTCAAAGATTTTAGCCAATTCCATATCCAAACACCTATGTAGTACAACCGTTAGGAAATAGGTTCATATATGATGAACGTAATTATGATTCTGCAGCAATGAAATTGGAATTTACGAATCTGTTCAATGCTTTTACTGGTAATTCTGCAAAAAAATTTCTTATGTTAAACATTACCATTGTCCTCCTGGATTTTTTATTTTACCTGTTCCTTTTCAACATTTCTTAGATGAACAAAAGTACATATATCAAAAAATTATGGGGGCTGTCCAGTCCCAGAATGGGGGTGTCTTCTTCCTTCATGGTTACAACGGTACTAGTAAGACCTATATGTGGAGAACCCTAGCGGCAACTTTGAGGTCCAAACATGAAATATGTTTAACGGTAGAACTGCACATTCTAAGTTTAAGATACCTATACAGACGCTTGATAATTCTACTTGCAAAGTTAAATACAACAATGATATTGCAGACCTTCTAAGACAAACAAGGCTAATTATATGGGACGAAGCACCAATGGTACACAGGCATGCTATAAAAGCACTTGACATAACTTTGAAAGATGTTATGAGTACATACAATAATTTTGAGGATATGTTTGGTGGAAAGGTTGTAGTTTTTGGTGGTGACTTTAGACAAATTTTGCCTGTTGTCCCACGAGGCAGCCGTTCAGATATTGTTCACTCGACGATAAATGTATCTTACATATGGCATTCAGTTCAGGTTTTAACGCTAACAAAAACATGCGTTTGCATTCTGGTACGACAGAGCAAGATAAGAAGGAAATTGCAGATTTTTCAGATTGGATTTTGAGAATCAGCGAAGACAAAATATCAGAGCCTAATGACGGTGTTGCAGAAATTGACATCCCCTCTGAACTTTTGATCACAGAATTTCATGATCCTATTGTTGGCATTATGAATAGTACATATCCTGATTTCATTAATAATTATCAGTCCAGCGATTACCTCTGGGGTCGAGCAATTCTAGCTTCGACATTAGAAGTTGTGGATGACATCAACGACCATATTCTTGCTTTAATGCCAGGTTGTCATATTCTTCAATTTTTCTTACTCTATAATATACATTGACTTCTATTTGTTAATTTATTTCTGTTCCGAAAACAGGAAACATACGCGACTACTACAGTTCAAATACAATTGATAAGTCCGAAATTCATGATGCAGAAGTACTTGACATCCTGACACCAGAATTCCTTAGTTCCCTACGTACATCAGGTTTGCCTAACCATCACTTAAAGTTAAAAGTTGGAACACCTGTTATGCTAATGCGAAACATAGACCAGTCTGAAGGTTTGCGTAATGACACAAGGTTAATCATAACAAACATGGCAAACCATGTTCTTGAAGCTTCAATAATGTCAAAAAAAGGTTCTGGAAATTTGGTTTACATCCCTAGGATGGATATGTCACCGTCACAGTCACCATGGCCGTTCAAGTTAAATAGACGACAATTCCCAATTATTGTCTCATATGCCATGACGATTAACAAATCGCAAGGATAATCTTTGGATAACGTAGGTATCTACTTGCCAAGAGATGTATTTACCCGTGGTCAAATTTATGTTGCGGTATTGAGGGTCACAACAAAACAAGGAATTAAAATATTGATACATGATGAACATGGAAAGTTCAAAGTAACAACTACAAATATTGTTTACAAGGAAGTTTTCGGCAATATATGATTATTCAAATATTAGGTACGCTTTTATGTTACTTTGCATTATTTTCTTTAGGCTTTAGCGTGTGTAGTACATGAGTTTGTAACCTCACTATTCAGTATATTTAGGAATTACTATTATGCATCTTCTGTAAAAAAAAATGTTATTCCTTTTATATTTCTTAACACACACCAATTTTGTTTGATTATTATACTATTTAATTTCGGTATTTAATTTTGGACTGTTGAGCATAACATTCTCAGTGTAATAGTTTGTAGTAAAACATAACCCTTTTCTGACATTAATTGAAAAACAGAACTCTTTGAAAAAATTAGAAGCTAAATATTGTAATAAAACAAAAGTTTTATAGCAATAGTTTATTTCATAAGAACACACTGCATTTCATATCAGTGTCACTTAGACGATATCTTCAATACGTTAGATAGCATATCATTCACACTACTTTCTTTATGCCTCATGTTACTGTCATACTATATAACTATAAAACAACTTGTAGAACTCATGTTGTTACTTTTGCTATTATAACATCAATTATCTAGATATTTTACCACACAATGCAACTGAGAGTTGGCGGTCTTGATAGGATATTGTTAGCTTTTTTAGTTTAAATATTTGGCCAATATGTTTGTTTTAAAACTTATGGTATTTCTGTTTTTTTAATGTCTTTACCAAAATTATTTTGTGTATCGTTAAACTTATATATATTTTAAAATACGGTCTTATCTTATAATTAAGTATGTTTGTTTCCTATAATTATGTTATTATCATTATATGACAATTATAATTAATGCACCTATAAGGGAAAATGCTCGACAAAACTTACGATATTTTGTTTTGAGTTTTAAAAGAGGTTTATATGTTTTCTATTTCCAACCATCATTCATTTTTCATTTTCTCTTTTTACCTTGTATTTATAAATATCAATCAAATTTATTTATTCCTTTTTTCATTGAATGTATTTTTTTACTACTCCATTTACCCTTTAAACCAATATTTATAAAGCTAAGTTATTTTGTAAAACTACATTATATTGTGATGAATTTTTTTCCGTCCATTAACATAAACATCAACTAATTCTGAAAATAATATATTGTCTTTTTCGTTCAATCAATTATTTTAACAAATGATCGTGTCCGACTAATACCCCTACAAACGCACAAATATCCCACTAATTTATTATAAAAATATAATTGACGATGATATTATCTAAGAGTTAATCCATAATACCAAATATTCACAAGAAAAGAAGAAAAAAAAATTATACAAAAAGAAAATTCCCAAAAAAAAGCATGGTATGTGGCATCCCTAATTCCCAGGTTACATTATTATCATTATTTTTGGATTCCCTAATTCATCTTTCCCCACATCGATCTCATTCTTTCTTTAAATAGCTCTCTTCGAATTGAATCGATGATGGGAGACAATGCAAGTGAAGAACATCAAACATCATTCGCAGCTCCTCTCATATTTTTCATCGTTCTCGCATTTCAATTTGCATCCTATTGGATCGATCACTTCAAGAAGGTCATTATTATGAATTTGCTTATTGTGTATATGGTATTTGGGTTTTTATTCTTGATTTTCACTATTTTACAACAATAACTTCAACCAAGCCTTATCCCACTCAGTGGGGTCGGCTATATGAATAAAGTTCCGCCATGTTTCAATCCAATTCGTTAATCTCGAGATTTTTTTAATAGTTTCTCTAATAGTTTAACAAGACAAAAATTGAACCTTTGCATGATGCCCTAGTGATTATTGGCTTTGTCGTGCTTAGCATGAGATATTCTCTACTATACTGACTGGTGATTATGTTGCTAATTTCTTTTAGTCACATGCTTTTGTTACAGATTGGATCTGAGAAGGAAAAAGAAGTTCAGTTGCGTGCGGAAATAAAACAACTTTCGAAGGAGGCGAACTCCATGTCGCAGTAAGTAACCTGTGCTTTAGCCTATTTTCAACACTCACTCTTTTATTGGTTGAAATTTAAGTGTCCCATTAATTTGGTGCGGGGTCTACTTGGTTTATGGAATCCATTTGAATTTCAACCAATGAAAGAGTTTGTGTTCAAAAGAGTGTGTTTCCAACACTGCTCCTGTATATGAAACCCTAGTATACGATCTGTATCAAATGGTAGAGCCCTTCCCCCCCATCCCCCAATGAAAATAAAATCCCATTCCAAATATGCAGCTATCATGAATACAGTGTTTTTTAGGCTGTTTTACATGTTATGTGTGTACATTTTGCAAGTTGATAGGGGTTAATTATGGTTTATATTGGTCTTAATATTAGTGCTTGCTCAAGGCTGATTACAGGTTAGTGTATATGATCAACTGGTCATTGAGAATTAGAGAGTGAACCCATGGTTTTGTCCAAATGCGCATTATGCCCTATGTTTCAGATATCTTGGTGTAAAATTAGAAGTCAAACTATACGTATCAAGGATGAAATATTGAAGGAGATTTATGATAGTCTAGTGGTGAAGTATCACTATTAATATGATTACAGAGGAAGATGCATGGTACTCAAACATTGACGTGATTTTAATTGAAAACAAGGATACATTTAAATCATGAAACATAGTTCAGACTTGTAGAGTATAGAATCAAATAATACATCAGAAATATATATTTTGCTATTAGATGTAGTTGGCCCATGTTGTGAATATTCAACCAAGTTATTTAGTGGAACTTGAAACACCATTGATTCTCACTGCTGTATATTTGTGCTCTCAGGCCATCCACCTTTGCACAAGCAGCAAAACTCAAAAGACAGGCAGCTGCAAAGGAGAAGGAACTTGCAAAGTGTGAGTTATTTCCTGTTGCAAGTCATTTCACATATTGCATTCTTTTTAAATGTGGATTGACATATCACATAGCTACCAATTGGAGTGTCATATGAAGATAAACTTGTAGCTACAACACCCAAATAAAAAGTTTTAGTTTTCCTTAGTCTCCATCTACCTAATGGATTATCTATCTTTTATCTAGTTTCCCTCCCATTTCCTATGTTTTTATAACATTACTTCCTACATAATGGCCTTGGGCAACTAATTAGCTAATTGCCTATTTGTGCCCACACTCTAAGTCTCATCTGGGTCGTAGCACAAATCAACATACAAATTAGTTCTTAGACAATGTTGGGATTGTAGCAGTACTCTTGTTTCTCTGCCTTTCCTGCTTTTCAAATAAATCAGTTACATTAAATATTTAATATCCAGGTCAAGATTTACATACCAGTGACACAACTCTGTATTCAAAAGCTCTGCTCATCTCAAAGGTATTTCCTGATATAAAATTTAACTTTTGGGTTTACATATTCTCTCTGCGGAGGCTGAAAAGATACATATATGGTTGTGCCTTGTAGGTTTTAACATATTTAATTTTGCTTATCTGGTTTTGGAGGTCTCCTGTGGCTAGCATATCTCAACAACTCGTGCAACCATTTGGTAATGCAATTATGATTGACGCTTCAATTCTACTAGATTACACTATAAACTCTGTTCCCCGATAATGTGTGCTGGATTAATTAGATTGCTATACAAAAGTCTGTCCATCTTTTTTATTTTGGGGATTCTGTCCATATGATCTAGCAGACTAATGGCACTGGCTTATTGCCTTTTAATGTTGAAAGAAGAAAACACTGTTTTTGTGTGTGTGCTGAACTTACTTTATGTTCTTCAGGGAGATTATTATCTTGGAGGACTGGAGGAGTTCATAATAACAATATTATGGTGAGTAATTGCTAGTATCTCTGTATTATATTTGGCGTTTTTGTATAAAAGAAGCAATTTTTGAAGCAAATGCTGCCTATTGAAGTCCCAATCATTGAATGTGCTGGTAGCTATTTCGTTTGAGCAAGGATTTGTTTTTTGTATAAAAGAAGCTACTTTTGAAGCAAATGCTGCCTATTGAGGTCCCAATCATTGAATGTGCTGGTAGCTATTTCGTTTGAGCAAGGATTTGATTTAGCTTGTGAGTTTTGACACTCATGAATAACTCAAATGTTAGCGGATCTAATAAACTTCATTGGTGTCAAATGAAAATTTGGAGCTTTCCAATAAGATAGCTGTTAAGAGTTTCACATTGGATGAGATATATATGGCTTGAAAGTTTGTTTATACGTGGTGGTGGCTTGTCCTCACAATTAAACCGGTTTTGTAAGGGTTGGGTTAGGCCTAACCCAACCCAAATTCTATGATGGTATTAGAGTCTATCTAAGATCCGCTTCGCCACATGCTATCAAGTCACTCATATCACGCTTTAGATGTCCAGTCTTGGGTGTGTTTTAGGAGTCCCATATTGGATGAGATATGACCTGGAAATTTGTTTATAAGTGGTGGATAATCCTCGTTGCGTAAGTCGGTTTGTAAAGGCTGGATTAGGTCTAATCCAAATTCTAAGAATAGCATGAATAATATTGCAGTGGCTTATATTTATCTAGTTATTCTGAGGAGATAGTAGCTGTTGAGAACTAAAGTGTTTATGCACATAATTAATGTCCACATAGCTATGTAGCACTGACATGACACCTCTGAAAAAAGGCGTTTCAGTGTCATGCACATAATTAATGTTCACATAGCTATGTAGTACTGACACCTCTGAAAAAATGCGTGTCCGTGTACGTGTCAGACACTTACACCGACACTTGTGATTACATTTAATTTATTCATTTTTTCAAATTATTACTAGTATCGCCGTGTCGGTGTTATGTCGTGTTCGGGGTGTCAGTGTTTCATAGCCACAGTAATTTTTATCTTTGTATAATATGATAATACCATGAACTGCTAGCCTAATACACCACATAAATAGAGACTTGCATCCACATTGGGTATAGTTTTCCAAATATCTCTTAATTTTACAGGGTATAATGAGCCATTTAGCGTTTTTCATCCTGTACTAAAAATTACACACGAGAAAGAAAACCATGGAACACCTCTTTCCAACGCAATTACTTGGGTGAGGCTACTTTTGTTCACCTTAGGCAACTTGGCATAGTACTTTCGATTTCCAGCAAGATGCCGGTGGTATGTGGCCAACAATTATGGCATTCAGCATTGAGTGGGGACTGTGGCTAGTGGTGAGTCTGGATCAGGTTCTTGAAATCAGATAGAGTTCATACACCTGGTTTGTATGATGTCGCTGAATGGATCTGTTTTGTGGGTCAGCTGGCAGCTGGTTATTCTATTTTCCAATACAGCTAAGGCGGTTTGAGGAGTTTCATGCATGCCCCTGCTTGAAGCTCTCCTAGAAGACTCGTCCAATATGGGACTCTCAACAATACTGTTGGTTGGTAAGAGTGAACACTACTGGGGCTCGAATGGTGACCAAGATAGGATGAGGATAGATAGGACAAGAGAGTTGGTAAAACTAGGATAAGATATAAGTACAATAAGATCTAAGTACAATAAGATCCTAACTTATCTGATGCTTGATGCACAATTGCACACCAAATAATCCACAAGGTCAATGTTATTTTATCCTGGTCAACTAATTGTTAATAGTCCCATATCTGACAATATATGGACTGAACATGTGCTTATAAGTAGGGACGGTCCTCACTTTACAAGCCAGTTTTGTAGGGTTGAGTTAGGCCCAACCACATTTCTTAACATAGTATCTGAGTCTCGTTTAAGATCTGATGTGTTAAGAGTCTCACATCGAACAATATATGGCCGAAACATGTGCTTATAAGTGGAGACAATCCTCGCCTTATAAGTCAGTTTTATAGGGTTGAGTTAGGCCCAACCACATTTTTTAACATTAGTAATGACACATTACAATGTAAATTATATGCAAATGACATGACAATGATGATGGTGTCCTCATGGTGGCGGAGGGTGGTAGGACACCGTGACAGTGGCACTGAGTGGTGACATTGGTTATAATGGCTAAGCGTGTCTGATAGTGACAACAATGGCAGGGGGTGCTCAACAATTGACAATCGCCATAGGAAATTTGTGAAAGGATGCTTGCCATGGCGGTGCGATAGGCTGCTATGGTGTGTTAATATGGCAGATTTTTGGCCTTCCCCTATCTATGACACTGGTACTCAAGTTGGAGAAGTATTAGTGGCGAATGGTGCAGGTGATGGTGGTAGTGATGAGCAATGTTAGGCAAGTGGCAGAAGTAACGGCAAAAGGTGTCCTGTAGTGGGGGTTTAAGTAATAAATGAACTACGCCAAAAGGCGATGGGGCGTATTGTATCGACCATCTAACGGTGAATGTGGAGGATACCAGAAAGACCTATCAGATACATTATTGACAAGCAGCGCAAATTAACGATGGTAAGGGTGTTAGGTGGAGATAGTGGGGAGGGTGTTTGGCGGTGGCAGCCAAGTGGTTTTGGATGGTGATGGCGAAGGGTGTCTGGCTGGAGAGGTAATGGTGGAGTGTGCTAGGCAATTATGATGGTGGAGGTTGTGGGGTAGCAATGGAGGTGTGTCATGGGAGGTGATGTCAGAGCAAAAAGGAAGAAAGAGTAGCAAGCTAGGGTGAAAAGGGAAAAAGATCTCCATCTTATCCTGCTTCTTCTTCAAGATGATATTTACATCAATGAATATAATAGGATAAGCCACTAGGATACATATCCTATTGGCTCAGCTAACATTGTATTATAATGAGATGTGGTATATTTACCCTATTCTATATTTCTTATCTTGACCACCAAGTGAACCTTAAAGTCTATCTAGATGAATTAATTTAATGTCCCTAGGCTAAGCTTGTTGTTAGAGGTTTGTTTTTCATAGACTTGCAAATTACTATTTCAACCACTTTGAAACCTTCTCATTTAGCTCTGAGTTGGCTTTTGCTTGTTTGTTTATCGTGTTGCAAGCATATCATCAGCATTGGCTGGAACAACTTTGTGCCAAAAATACCATTCCCCATAGTGATCTACCATAATAAGTCTATACGGAGTAGGCGGAATGTGGGAAGGTTTGTTGGTTAGATGATGATAGGTTCTGAAATGATATGTAGAAATAGTACAGGAAAATAATAGTAAAAATAGGAAAAACAATGCAGTTGTATTGGTCAGAGATTCACAATTACATTCATTAATGGTGATGCTAACAGAGTAACTAACTGGTAGTGGAATACCAGCCCTAAAGCACACGTGCTTTCCCTCAAAATCACCAAGAGGTGACCCCACACAATCTTAACAGAATTCTTAGCTGATTATTCTCATTCCCTTTTACTGCTTATATAACCACTCTCATGCATTTCATGCATACTTAGCCACGTCATCCTTTTCCTTTCCTTTTGTCTTTTTCCTAGTGTACACCTTCCACACCTTTGACTCAGGCCCATAATCAAGACCCACTCCATTAATCATGTTTCTATCAGATGACTCCCATATGACTTGAAATAATCTCCCCAGGTTTGGTTTGAGAGTTAGATTGGAGTACTATCAGGATTCTTTAAGCTTTGTCATGAGGAAATAATTGCTTTTGTTTTAATATGTATTGTCAAAAGCTCTCTATCTAAGTTACCGAAAAACATGCTTCAGCTATGATCATGTAATCTTTATCAATAGTCCATTAGTGAGTGGTTATTCTTCTGGTCGTCTACGTTGATGACATAGTAATAGTTTGGGGATGACACATTTGGCATAGCAGAATTCAAGAGCCTCTTTCAAACCAATTTTTAAACAGAAGATCTAGGCCATTCGGAGCACCTCGTAGGTATTAAAAAGAGATTCTCCTCTCATAGTAGAAATATGCTCTTGTTCTCCTTTCAAAAGCATGTTAGGACCTAGACATTGCGACCTATAATGTGAAACTCATTTCAAAGGATTTGGTTTTGAAAGGTACACGAGTTTCTATAATACTCAATTATCTCATTGAGACACATTCAGCTAGACATTGCTTTCCCATTAAGTGTTGTAAATCCGTCTGTGTCATCTCTCTTTAGTCTTGTTGCAAATCAGTTTTCCAAATCTCTTATTTGAAATGAGCTCCGAGTCGTGGGATATTCGGATGCAGACTAGGGTTGATGTCCTATCAATCAATAAATGAAACCACTTATTATATGTTCCTTATTGGAAATTCAACCCCTCGATGTAACAATATATGAAATTGTCAAATTGTTTCTGAATGTGATTCAATCATTGCAGGTTGGCATAATACCTTGGCTAGCAGTAACTTCCAGGGTTAGCAAACTTATTTGTAAACTCACTTATAGCAAATAGACTCTCGTGATCTTCATCAAGAATGGCTGATTGCTAGCTGATTGGACTGGTTCCTGAATTTGAAATGGAAAGAACAGAACGTTACTAGGTTTGTACATCTTGAAATTAGTTCCTCCTGCTTGTTTTATGACATCCATTTTCTTTGGTGGATGTGCTTTCCTTTGTTAATTCATGAATTTTTTTTGTGGATACTTAATAAGGAGATTTGTCTTCTAATGCTTTTGGATTAGTTTTATTTATTTATTTATTTATATTTGTTTTTGGTGTTAAATTAATAGGTTTGACATAAAATACACAATCAGAAGTAATGTATTTTAGCAGATTTGAACATTTAGAAGAGTGAAATGAGAAAAATCTTTAATCAATATTCTAAATACTGCATTGACCTGTTCAACAGGGAACTGATACGTGCTTATAAAATTGAGGAGTATATATCAACATTATGTTGGTTTGAGTTGAATTTGACTCAAACCTCTTTAGCAAAGTCTCATATTCAAACATTGTGGATTAGATGAAGAGATGTTGTTTTTGAGGATCTATGTTACTTGAATTCATCTTAATTTTATTCGATGAGATTTGATTTGTTAAGGTTGATTTAATGATTAAAAAATTATTTACAATTTAAAGTAGGATATAATTGAAATTTGAAATTATGATTAAGCTTTATTATTGCGTTAGATAAATATAGATAAATTATAAAAATTTTGAAAAAAAATTAAGGATAAAAGAAAATTGAAAATAAAAATCTACATCAAAATATGGTATCTTATTTTATGGATTTGAATTCTCTAAAAGAGTTTCTGTTTTAACGAAGTACAAAACTCAGATATAATTTTTTTAGATGTGGTTCTTATTATTTTTCAATGGAAATATGATAAATATATTTAAATATCATTTAAAAAATGAAAATATAGCAATTTGCATGTGTAAGAGAAAATTCTATATGTATCATGTTTTCATTGAAAAATAAAATCACAAATCTAAAGAATTGTAGTTAAATTTTGTCTTTTTACCGATACATAGTTACCAAGAAGGTATAATGAGTTTTACATTGATTCGGGATAGAATATTTTAAAAGAAAAAGTATTCAATTCCTGTTTATTGTAATCTTTAATTTACATAAAACACTACTAATTGTCTTATTTTATTTTAAATAAATAAGTCATAGCCTCACTTATACAGTTGTTTACACAAAATTGGATCCTACCCACTTTTAACTTTAACAATATTATTTTGGATATCCAAATTTCATGGAACATTTACAATAGAAAACTTTAAACTTGTAGCAAGATCATAACCGTTAAGCTTATTAGATTGGCTCCAAAAATAGTCTTAGAGAACCGGAGAGGATTCATATGAGACATAGTACAAGAAATCTTTTGAAAGAAACATGGCTATGAAAATTGATATAAAAAAAAAGCATTTGATACTTCAAAATGGAGTTATTTATTCTATATGCTTAAGAACTTTGGCTTTAATATTATATTTTGCAATTGAATTACAACAATACTTCATTCAACCAAACTATCAATTTAGTTAATGACAAGGCAACAAGCTTTTTCAACTGTTCTAGAGGAATAAGACAAGGAAATTCCATTTCTATTTTACTATTTTGCATTGTTGAAGATGCTTAAGAAGACAATTTGCAAACATGATTGAACAAAGACATATTACATGAACCGCTCATGACAAAACTAAGTTTCCAAGTCACACTTTCTTTGTAGATGATCTCAGATATTTTGTAAAGCTACCAAAAGTGATGCATATCCTATCCACAAATTATTACATGAATATGCTTAAAATTCATGCCATCGCCCTAGTCCCACAAAATGCAAGGTATCCTTGGTTTTTAGGCTATCCACAAGTTGCATGCATCTTTGGTTTCAACACAAGTCACACAAACTTTGATTACTTTGGAGTACCAATATTCAAGGGTAAGTCAAGAGTTCAACATTTACATCCAATAGCAGATAAGGCCTAAACCAAATTAATCACATGAAAAGGAAACATCTTATCTATGATGAGAAGAATTCAACTTGTTAACTCGATAATCCATAACATGCTACTTTAAAGCCTTAAAATCCATGAGTGACACATTTCATCCATTAATAAACTTGATACTTGAGTGACACGTTTCATCCATCAATAAACTAGATACTTGCATAATAAATTTTGTATCGTCTAGAAAAATATTGATGACAAAAGATAATAACAGTTAAATTGAGTAAATTTTGCACTCGTATTACATTAAATAGTTTAGGAATACGAGACATAAGTAGGGGGTGTGTATGAGTTGGGTTGGATTAGGGTTGACCTAATCCATTTAGACTTTAATGAGTTGGGTTCATAGTCCAACTCACAATTTCATTGTCAAAATTGAGCAAAACTAATCCTTTCGTTTAGATATTGAGTTTGGTTCGCGAGTTGTATTTTAAATAAAAAAAATATTTTTTAAATATTTTTTTAATCAATTATAGAAAAATTGAAACACAATTACATACATTTCCAATACTCGAATTAGATGAAATATATCATATGAAATTTAATAAAATTCATCCATATGTCATAATACATAATATTAGTAGAAGATTCTACAAAACACATTATTTTTATAAAATACGTAAGTTAGAAATGATAAACAACACTTAATCTTAAAGTTACATAAAATCATTGCTATAGTAGTAGTACTGGCGGTTAATAAGTTTTTTTTTTTAAAAATAATTATATATTTTCATTTAAAGTAACAATAATGAAAAATGAAATAGTTAATGTCACATCAATGGATTGGTCAACGGATCCACGGGTTGAAAAACTCAAATCTGATATCCAAACCAAAATTATACGGATTTTTGGGATTGAGTCGGATATACCCATAAAAGACCATATTTGGGTAATTTATAAATTAGTTCGGTTTGGATCATCAGATTTGTTGGTCGATCCGCACCCATGAACATCTCTAGACATAAGGCTAAATAACAAAGTCGGAGCTACCTATTTCATGCTTGGCAAGTGTTCATCTCATCAAATCAATGGGCACAAACCCTAAAAAATAGATGCTTTAGGGATAAAATATCAATAAAACATCATATCTCAACCTCATTGTGGCGTGTAATTAAGAGAAATCTGGTATACATCTAGGACCATACCTGCTTGACAATTGAAAATGACAGAAAGATTGATCCATGGTTAGACAATTGACTACGTTATAAGATTAAAGACACACACCGATTCTCCTAGAAAACCTACAATATCCACAATAAGCATATGTCAGCAACATAATGTAGAATAAAAAATGGAGCATTCATACCTTGTTGCAAACTTATGCACCTAAAATTGAAAAGGATATCTTAGAAGTGTAGTTGTTCTATAATGATATAGAGGAAGACAAAAAGTATTGTCTGAAACAGACAATGGAGTTTTAACATTTAAAGATGCCTATGTTTGCTTCAGCTTTTGCCTCCCAATTATTCAATGGCTAATGGTAATATGACAGAAGTATGTTCCACAAGTTAAGTACATTGTTAGTTGCAAATTGTTTCATAATGTAATTACAACATTTGACAATTTGGCTAAGACATGTAAGCAATTAATTTCTCGATGTTCATTATGTCAAAATCATATAGAAGATGAAGATCATGTCTTTCTTCAATGTATCTTCTCTCTCTAACTTTAGAATTGGATATAAGGAATAATCTCTATAAGTTTGGATAAGATAATACATAAACAATATTTTTAACATTGTGGATCGAGGTCGGAGTATGCAGGTTAAGCATATTCTTCTAACACTAATATTTCTAATTGTTTGGAAAACATGACATCTAAGAAATACCATTATATTCAAGGTATGTACAACAATAATTTATAGAGAGATTAACCACATTAAAAAGTTGATAAAGTTGATGTTTCTTTACTCACCTTCAAAAAGCATATGGAAATTTTAATTATTAAAGCATTAACTGAGACCAAAAATGATTCAAATAAATTGGATTAGGCCTATTGGTCGTATTAAGTGAATTATATATGAATTTTCTAGAGAAAATCCGAGGGGCCCAACATGTGGTAGCATACTTAGACCAGCTCTAATGTTGGGTTCTTATGTTAAATTTTCCACCTGGCAGCATTAAAGTTAAATAAAGTAGCTGCAAGAGTTCTCCAAGTGGAGAACGTATTACGTTGAAACAACGGTCCTTATATTAAAAAAAATAATATAAATTAACTAGCCGTTGTATAACGGTTCATTTTTTTTTTGTTTTTATTTTATTTTAATAATTTATTTCTTTATAAATATGATAAAGTGATAAGTTGTATACTCAAATTTGCTCTCATAATTTTATTTCTTTCTCTCAATTTGTTCTCATAATTTTATTTATTTCTCACAATTTACTCTCATAATTTTATTTCTTTCTCACAATATCATCTTCCTACTTTAAATTAAAATTGTTTAGGCCAAATGGATCCTAATCATTTTCATTATCAACAAGCTATGTTCAATTACATGTCAAATTATCAAAATCCTAATCCTCAAAATTCTCAATTTCCATCTGTGCCAACAAACCCCGCCATATTTTTTCCGAAAACACCGATTGGGTTTATGTCCGGATGTCAAGTTCCACCAGTTTCTACTCAAGTTGGTACTGAAAAAGAAGAAAGGGTTGTCGTTAAAAAAAATCTCGAGAGCAATTTACAAGGGATGAAGATATACTGCTTATCCAATCATGGCTCAATGTTTCAAAGGATCCAATTGTGGGAGTTGATCAAAAAGCTGAGAGTTTTTGGTTAAGAATCGCTGCCAATTATAACCAGTATCGTGGGCAATCGCGGGAAAAGTTAGGCGGGCAATTAAAATGTCGATGGCATCGAATAAATGGCTTGGTTCAAAAATTTGTTGGGTGTTACAAATAAGCTGTTAATGGAAAAAAAAGTGGGACATCGGAGAACGATATCATGGTTGCTGCACATGCTTTTTTTGCTCAGGATGAAGGTACAACATTCAATCTTGAGTATGTATGGCGATTGTTAAAAGATGAACCTAAATGGATGGGAGAATCGATTGGAAATTCTTCAAAAATTACAAAGAGCTCTGCTAGTGGGGCATCATCGGATAACCCAAATACACCTTCAAGTTATGAGTTTAACTCATCATCACCAATGGAGCGTCCAATGGGACAAAAAGCAGCAAAAAGGAAGGGTAAGGCAAAGGAAATTCCAAATGCAATGCAAGATGCAAGGATTAAAAGAGCAGCGGCAATGGAAAGACTAGCTCAATGTAAGAAGGACGAGCTAGAACTAAAGGCAATGAATATCATCATGAAAGACACTTCTACTATGAATGATAATCAACGAGATATTCATGAAAAATATTGTAATAAGATGAAAAAAAAAAAGGAATGTAGTTAATGTCATTGACGTAAAATGGTCATTAGTACCATTTTAATTTATCAACACCTATGTAAAATGGTCATTAGTACCACTTTAATTTATCAACACCTATGTAAAATGGTCATTAGTACCACTTTAAATTATAATAAATATTATGTTATTCAAACTAGCCGTTATTCAAACTAGCCGTTATTCAAACTATCCTTTATTCAAACTAGCCGTTATTCAAACTATCCTTTATTCAAACTAGCCGTTATTCAAACTAGCCGTTATTCAAACTATCCTTTATTCAAACTAGCTGTTATTCAAACTAGCCGTTATTCAAACTAGCCGTTATTCAAACTAGCCGTTATTCAAACCATTATATATACTATCACTTATGACATAGTTTTCCCATTCTCATCTTATTCTTCTATCACACTTCTCTAATTCTTCTCTCATTTTTCTATCATTCTTAATTCACTAAAATGGATTCAGACAATTCAGATGATTTTGACCAAGAATTTTGGGAGTTGATTGAAGAAGAATTTACCGACGATAGTGATGAAGAACAATTGCTTGAAAATGAACGTCAATCTGGAAGTTCATCTATGCCAAAGAGAAGAACAATGGTAGATCATAGTCGTGAAGAAGGGCACAATCGATTATTCAATGACTACTTCTCGGAAAACCCAGTATACACAGATGTTCAATTCCGAAGAAGGTTCAGAATGCATAGGCATGTATTTCTTCGAATTGTAGATGCCCTTGGAAATCATGATGAATATTTCCAAATGAGGGTTGATGCAACTGGTAAAATGGGTCTTTCACCATTGCAGAAATGTACATCTGCTATTCGTATGTTTGCGTATGGGTCTCCTGCTGACGTTGTAGACGGATATGTTCGAATAGGTGAAAGCACTTCAATTGAGTGCTTACAAAGATTCGTTCGGGCGTGAATGATGTATTTGGGGCTGAGTATTTGAGAAAGCCTAACAACACTGATGTTGAACATATTTTACAAATGGGAGAGTCACGTGGCTTTCCAGGTATGTTGGGTTCCATTGATTGTATGCATTGGGAGTGGAAAAATTGTCCTGTTGCATGGAAAGGACAATTTTGTCGAGGTGATCATGGAAAGCCCACAATCATACTTGAAGCAGTGGCATCACAGGACTTATGGATTTGGCATGCTTTTTTTGGTATTGCTGGTTCAAACAATGACATTAATGTGTTAAACCAATCCAACGTGTTTAACGATATTTTAGAAGGACATGCTCCCAATGTGCAATATACAATCAATGGAACACCATATAATATGGGGTATTATTTAGCCGATGGTATATATCCTGAGTGGGCTACATTTGTGAAGACCATTTCAATGCCACAAGGAGAGAAGAAAAAATTATTTGCTCAACATCAAGAATCAGCTAGAAAAGATGTGGAGAGGGCATTTGGAGTGCTTCAATCTCGATTTGCAATTATACGTGGCCCAGCGCGTGCCTGGCACATGGACACCCTCAAACATACCATATATGCGTGCATCATATTGCACAACATGATTATTGAAGATGAACGACATACATATGGAGGTAATTTTGATTACTCTTATGATAATGTGGATAACAATCACTCAACAACTGAAACATTTAGCGGTCCTCATCCGAATCTTGCAACAAGACTACAAAGAAGAGCAAATATTCGTGAAAAACAAGTTCATCGTCAACTTCAAGGAGATCTAGTCGAGTATATTTGGGAACGTTTTGGACATGAAGATGATGAAATTTAAGTTTGATTAATTTATGTGATGTTATTTATTTTTATTGTTTTTAATTATATGTAATGTATTTGAAATTAATTTTAATTATCATTTTAAATTATAAGTTTAATTTGAATTTTATTTATTTTATATAAATTTTAATTTAAATAATTAAAATTATTATTTTAAATGATATAGAATTTAATATGAATAAAATATTAATATATAAAGTAAAGTTGTGGGACCCATTATGAGTTCTTTAGAGTTGCACCATTGGAGTGAAAAACTAGTTGGGTTGCTTCAAGCTGACGTGGCTTAATGGGTCCCGCAAAGAACCCAAAATTGAGTTGCACCATTGGAGATGCTTTTAGAGATTATTTGGGCACTTTTGTAGAAGCTTTTTCAGCTAATGTGGGAATAACCACGTCATTTTAAGCCGAACTGCACGACGTTATATTAGCCATCTACCTTGGAGACATAAAGGGATGAGATCACCTTTGGTTAAAGAGTGGTTCAAACTTGCAATTCAATCCTTCTAAAAGTTAGTTCCTTGGAAGTTATTGAATGGTTGGAAAAATAACATGAAAACTATTTATTCATTTAGATTGAAAATTTCACACATCTTTCGTGAATGGAATACATGTGCAAATAGATGGTCTCATGCAAGAAATTTTATGGATTATGTATGACACATGATAAACTGCTTTAAGAAAACGTGCACTCCAAAAATGCACTTAATTGTGACATTTACTCCACGGTGTGTTTCGTTGTGGAACCAGAACTAGTATGTATCGACGATGAAAAACCCTAACTAATGGTGGTGATCTCCGTTTGGATGGTGCAAGATGAATCTACAAGGTTATCCCCCCAACGTCCAAGTCAGTTTAGAATTCAAGATGAGTGTAGTAGAAAATGGAGATACAAATTGTACTTTGAATATCATGAATAATGACTTTATACATTGGTTTATTTTGAGTGGATTTGTATTGGATTGGGCCTTGATCGGTCTAGAACTGTTTTCCTCAAGGCTTATCGGAGGAAGATTAGTCGGGAAAGTCTTAGAAGTCATGGTCGGACTCTGAGAATGTTGTTCACTCTTAGTCAGTAGTGGAAATGCCTTAGATTAGTTGCAAAAGTAGGGGGAACATGCACATTAAATTCTTTCCCATAATTGAAATGTTTCACTACTCTTTTCTGACGCGTGGATTGAGATGAAATTTAGGGCATGACGCTTATTATAGTGCACTCGAGTGCACTTGAGTTTTTTTAAGTTCCCTAGGAGGAATCCATCCATAGATCTTGTAACCTCTCGCTTCCCCTGATCTGGTTCGTTGCTTGCCTTTGCATATATATAAGGGTTTTCGAGTGTTGAGGGAATTGTTTTGAAATATTTAAGAGTCAATTTCTATTTTTGGATGCATTTCTCTCTCTTCTTTCTCGTATTATTTACTAGAGAGATTGTAGTTCATTCATTAAAGATGAAGGTTGAGAAAAACACAAGAAATAGAGGTTTGAATTGAGGTTTTAAAAACTATTTCTTTTGCAAATGCTTCTCACAAACGAGCAATGATATAAAAGCTAGAAAAAAAAGTGACACAATTAGTTTATACAAGTTCACCTTAGAAAATTCTACTCTTGTCCACCCGCCAAGGTGATTTTGCCTTAAAAAAGGACTTAATCCAATAATCTAGAAAGATTACAACAACGTCTAAGTGTTTAGAAAAACACCTTAGCGCTCTCAAGTAATTCTGACTACAACTTAGTCACTTGAGAAAACAAATCTAGAAAGATTTATAATTAAACAATGTTTACAAGAGTGCTTCTAAAAAGCAGATTTAATACCACAATGAAGAACAAATATTTACACACAAACATGAGCAATTAATCTTGTGTATACAACAATGATAAAATAACACAATAATGAGCAACAACTCTTATGTTATAGAGAATGAATAGTTAACACAAAACTGAGCAACAACTCTTTGAGTTTTTGAATATCTCTTGAATATTTTTCCTCTTTGTTTTCTTTCACACTAACTTCACTTTTGACGATTTTGTTGTTTTTTCGTGAATGGTTTTCCGTTGAATCACTTTTTCCTTTCAAAATGAAGCAGTTATAAAAGAAGACCGTTGGAAAATGTCACTTTCACTAAATCATATGCTACTACGGTAGCGTATGATCGTGGAAGGCAAAGAACACACCAAAACTTTATCCGTACACTACATTCTCCACAAATAACAGAAAAGGCATTGTATCGCTGTACTGTATTTTTCTTGTGTAAATTTATGATCTTTTCTTTTGATGAGATACTTCTGATTTGTAGTAGTAAGAGAGCTCAGAAGAGATCATGTCTTTGTTCTTTAATCTTCTGATGGAATGTTTCTGATAAGAAGTGATGAGTATTCCAGAAGATAATTCATTATAATGATTTCAAATGTATCAGAGTCTTTCAGAATCAGAACCTAGTCTTCAGACATGTAGCAACAACTTATTTGACAAACGATTTCTTGATATCTGAGCTGGAAGCAAAAGATTTATTTGAGAAACACTTTATCTTGATTTCAGATATTTGAAGCAAAAACTTGATATCTAATTTTTGAAGCAAAAGCTTGATATCTGATCTTCATATGGAGATTCCTTTTCTGGACACACTCATGACTTC